TGATGTATTTATAGAGGGCCTATCATTGTAGGAAATCAGGATCTAAGACAAATAATTGTAAAAATGGTTTCTTTACTGTCAGGGCATGAAGCTTGCTTGCTCTCAGAAAGAGATGAAGGACACAAATTATAAAAAGTAAAAGACTTCTCGGGACATTTCAAGTGGGTTTCATCAGGTGTTAAAGACCTGGAGTTCAATTACCAATGGGCTACCAGATGTTTAAAATGGTTAGACATCATCCTTGTGGAATGTGGAGTAACGGTAGCTTAAATTAGGATCTTTAATTTGAACTACCTACTCCATGCCGCGTGTAGCCGCGGGCACAGAGTTTGGACTAAGGGGTTTTAAAAATGGCGGTGCCCGGGAACATGCAAATGAAGCCCAGGATATTTAAATCCCGGGCTTCATTTGCAACTCTGCTTGCCCTAATTACCCTACCTAGCTCGAACTAACGAGCTAGTGCAGACGTACCCCCAGAGATTTCGGTCCAATGCCTGCTCTGGAACAGTAAGGGGGGCACTGCATATTAAGGTACATTGCAAATAGATCTATGGCAGGACACCCTCATCTTCAGAAGATGTGTTGTGTTACCTTCGAATTCAACTGCCACTCATGTTGATGGATCAGGTGCCTGCTGAGAGTATCGGCAATGACATTGTCTTTGCCCGGCAGATATGTCGCAATGATGGAGATATTGTGATGGATACAGGTTCCATAAATGTGCTGCCTCTGCGCAAAGTGATCATGAATGGGCACCGCTCTGGAGGTTGATATCGTATACTGCCATCATGTTGTCCGAGAGAATTTGAATAGAGTGGCCTTGGATGTTGGGTAGGAAATGCTTGCAGGCATTGACTACTACACTCAGCTCAAGGAAATTGATGTGTTGGAGGGACTCCTGAGCAGACCAACGGCCTTGAATTTGGTAATCTCCAAGGTGGGCTCCCCAGCCCAGCAAGGCTGCATCTGTTGTAATCTGTACCATAGTCTGTGGATGATGGAAAGGAACACTGGCGAGCATGTTTGTGGGGGTACTCCACCATGTTAAGGATTCCCGTACCGTAGGAGGGACGTACACCATTCTGTGAAGATCATGATTGCCTGGTCGATAAATCAAAGCTGGAGGCATCTGAGACATAGTCTTGCATGCTGCACCACATACGTGGTGATGGCCATATGACCCAAAAGTCTCAGGTAGGTAAGTATGGAGGTCTTGGGGCTCGTGGAAAGTATCTGTATGAATTATTGAATTACCCAGAATCTTGATGGAGCAGGTAAGCTTTGGCCATGGTAGATTCCAAATGTGCTCCGATGAACTTGAGGGACTGCTGTGGAGTTGTGGGCAGTGAGGCATCAGGCTTAGCAGGTTGTAGGGCCTTATTAAACAATAGAATCTTAAGCCGCATTTCGTGGTCTCATCTGGCTCGCACTGTGAGTTTGGTGCAGTGCTGGCATTTTTGAGGGATATGATCCACGCCTAAACACTTGATATATCGTGAATGTCCATCCGAAGCGGGCATCGCATCTAGGCACGTAGCTCATTTCTTGAAACCGGGTATATGTCATTTTGAGGTGCGACTATGCAGAACTTAACTGTGAGGAGAATTTAAGCAACAATTTTTTTTTAAGAACTATAACTAACTAGTATAACTATGACTACTGAACTGTAATAACGAACACAACTAAACTAACTCTAATTGAAAACTTTTCTGTCAGAATACAGGAGAGGAGTTGATCTTCGTCTGTAGCCATAGAGGGTGAGGAGGAACTGGCGGGAGTTGGACCGCGCGCGCTCAGAATCGGCGCGAATATCGTGCAATGCCTGCCGCGCATGCGTGGTCTGGCTGGACTACTGCTGACGACTCTCCGATCTGCGGTGCGGGACCAGCCCGACACTTAGAGTAGAGCACCCACGGGGACACCACTCGAAGAACCACAGCTTCGTCCGATCCACCAGCTGTGACCCTTCTTGAACAAGTATGACTTGGCCACAGTGATCCATGCTCTTGTTACATCCCGACTGGATTACTGTAATGCACTTTATGTGGGGCTGCCTCTAAAGAGCCTTCAGAAACATCAACTGGTCCAGAATGCAGTTGCTTGAGTTTTAACTAATACTCGTTATATGGAGCACATTATGCCAGTGCTCCGGCAGCTGCACAAGCTTCCGGTACGTTGCTGGGCACAATTTAAGGTTTTGGTTATGATCTATAAAGCCCTAAATGGGTTGGGACCAGGATTTCTGAAGGACTGTCTTCTTCCATATGAACCTGCCTGGGGACTGAGGTCAGCTGGGGAGGCTCTGCTCAGTGTTCTCCCACTTATGGCAATAAGATTAACATCTACGCGGAACAGGGCCTTCTCAGCTTTTGCTCCCAGGCTGTGGAATTCTCTTCCTCGGGATAATCGCATGGTGCCAGCGTTAGCATTGTTTTGGCGCCAGGCTAAAGCCGCCCTTTTTACTCGTGCTTTTATTAGTGTTTGAGTCTGTATGTGTGTGTTGTTCTTCTTGAGACAATTTAGCAGGTTTTATGTCTCTCGGGGGTCTTGTATTTTAAAATTTGTATATATATTTGTACTGTGTTTTAAACATTTTGTAAGGACTGCCTCGAATATTTTAAATGGAGAGGTGGGGCAAAAATACTTTAAAGAAATAAAATAAATAAATATGTTATATCTTAAGGCATACACAATTAATGAAAGCTTAATAAGAGCTTTGTCCTGAACTCTTACTCAGAGTGGATTCACACTGAAATCTAGAGAGTTCTCTCTAGCACAGACTGAAAAACTGGGCCAAACCAGTTTTAATTACTTGTATATTACATATAGAGAGATGTACAAAACACATATGCTTACCAAACATGTTGGTAGACAGAAACCGTACTAATTAAAAGGAAAAAAACTGTTATAAAATGTCATTTGATAAATTTCTTTGGCATGCATGTTATCATACCGATATACAGCAAGGGGTTTAAAATGACAGAAGTGGCAATTAAGGCTATGATTCACAGGTAACCCATCTAACACCACTGCAGATTTGGCCACTATCTTTTACATGGGTCTGAGAATCTAACGTACTGACTTTTTTACTTACCATATATACTCGTTCATAAGCCAAGTTTTTTTGGATAAAATCCCATTGTAAAGACCGGGAGTTGGCTTTTGAACGGGTTCGAAAAAGCCAGAGCAGCAGTAGGGGACCCGGGGCAAGCTGGGACACAGCAGTGTTAGATCCTGCGGCTCTGCTTTTAAATATAGTAAGAGCTAGCTGGCAGCCCCTAATACATTTAAAGGCAAAAGGACAGTTGGAAACACAGCACGAGCCAGGACACAGCAGTCCCAGCTCACACCAGGTCCCAAACACTGCGGCTCTGGCTTGTAATGTAGTAAGAGCTGCTAAATTACTACATTTAAAAAGCAGAGACTGCAGTATCTGGGATGTGACCCACCAAAAGTATGGAGAAAAAATGGCAAAAAGTCACTGACCTGTTAATAAAGTCCCAGACTGCTGTACTCTGGAGTCGGCTTATATATGGGTCAGTGACTTTTTACCATTTTTTCTAAGTTTGGGGGTTGGCTTATAAACAAATGGGCTTATGTTCCAGTATATAAGGTTGTTCACAACACCTGCAATATTAACTTACATGGTATCTTTAAGAAATAGAACTAAAAATTTAACACAGCATCAGTGTAGCTGCTTTAAGTACATAAACAATGACATACTGTTTTAATTAACAACTCTAGAAAGGGGTAAGTGTGTGATAAGCAAATTAAATCATTAGCACTAAATGTTGATGGAAATAGCTACTTTTTAAATACATAATTGTCAGGGTTTATTTAAAGTTTATATATTATATATTGATCAACTGAACTACCTTTTTGTGAATTTTTTCCCCCTCTTCATACCATGTGATCTTTCTACAGCAATAGTAGCTTTTTTCTTCTTCCAGAGCTTTAATGATTTAAGGTATTTTAGGAGTAAATTTCAGATGTATCTGATTTCACCATATACCTTACCCTAAACATCTTATATTAAAATAGTGCTAAGCCTTTAATTAGAGAGTTCTATGCAGACCTAAGAATAAGTCAGTTAATTAAATCTTAAAATTATTGTGAAATGACCACCAATTTTAAAGAGCTTCTAAATATAATTTACTATTAACCTTAATGTAAAGTGTAAAAATGTGGGTACCCATAAACACCCCAAATATGCACTTCTATGATTATTTAACTAATTTTCCATAATGAATAACCAACCGTGACCACAAATCATAATATATTATATTAGAAGGATGGTTTCCCTAGCGACAGATACAAAAAAATTCACTGCTTTAGATTTATTTCTGACAAGGATGGGATTCTCCAATGGAATTGTCTTAGGCAACTAAACTGTTTTTTGGCTTGTAAACCTTTCCTTATACGGCAACAGCTATGAAATGATTCCTGCCTGCAACAAAGTATCTCCTAGATACATTTAATTTGGGAGGTTTATAGTGACCTGCAACTAACATTAAGTGTTTCAGTAAGCCCATCAGGTTGATCCAGTTAACGTTCATAAAATGAAATACCCGACACCTCGCTTTACTCTTCTTAGCTGGCTGTTTAGAAGAAAGAGATGAGCTACGATATTTTATTTCAGTCATTTGGCAATGTCATGGTATTAACTCCTTCCCTCTCTCCACGCCCAAATATAAAGTAGCTTTGATCATTGAGGGCTTATCAAACCTAACGATAAAGAATTCCCTCTATGACTGTCATTCGATGTTTCATCTTGGTGGGCAAAAATGATAAATCATGTAATGAAAAATCTATTATTAAACTAATCAGCAAGCCACAATATAAAAAATGGAAGCTTACAAAACAAAACACAAAAAGCTGACATCAGAGAAGGATAGACGGGATTAGATCCTGCATGGTTTCAAGAATAAATAGATCCCTCTGGGACGCTGAGGATTAATATTTTTTCTCTCTCAGACACTGTTCAGAATTAATGAGGGTACCTGCAACAATGCTGGCAAGCTGCTGAGTTCTGGTGATGGGGTAGATGCTGCGTGCCTGAACGAGTGCTGAAGCTATTTTCTTGGCGTGCCTCTCCTCCCCGTATGTTCTCAGGATGGACGCAAGCGCCTGTTGATCTAAAGCATTCACAACATCAGCAGCGGTGGGCATGTCAGGGTACCTACGCACAAGAAGAGCCAATTAGTTCACTGACGTCAGTTTTCATTGACAAGAGGTGAAGCTTCATAGCATTGAGACATAAAATCAAACACACACACTGCATACAAGTGCCTTTGAGGTTTTAAAATAAGAGAAAGCAATCCTGTGAAAACGGAAATAGCTTCTACCTTTTAAATCCTGTCTTATTGCTTCAGATGGACTGTCTTCCTTAACATTAATTAGCAATAAAGAATAGCTAAAGCTTCAAGCACTACTATAAACTTTTAACATTAATGAGTTGACAAAGATTAGCTGTAGTTCAAGTATGTTTCCAAAAATTAAAAGGTTGTGAGATTGCCTTTATTTAGACATCTTCAGAATATGAACTCCTTTCTTATGTCTTGATTTAAGTCATCTTTCATAATTTGTTCTGTTTTCCATTAAGAATATACAGGAATTAATCTCACGGATCTTTCCCCTTATGCTGTGCTATGAAAAATAATCCCTTATGAAGACAATTTCCTGTACAGACACTGTATGATAATTTAAATTCAAAAGTTATTTTAAAAGAAAGGGATATTTTAACTATCTACCAAAAGGCAAACAAATTATCCTATAGTCATCAATATTTCTTTAACCCTCAAAACTTTCTTTATAGAATTAATTCAAGGTCTTTTATATACACTGAATAATGTGCAGAGACTGCGCAGTCTAATTCAACTATTTCACAGACTTGTTTCTTCTATGAAGGGACTGTCAGGCAGAATATTTTCAGTAATTTATTATTTCCCCACAGTATCTTACAGGATATAACCAAACATAAGATAACTATAGCAGGCAAATAGTTATCGGCCACTGTACGGTTTTATCACAGTCATTCTTTATTTTTATCACACAAGTTCATATACCAGCAGGGATATTTTAGTGGAAAAAAACGCAGGTTTACACATTCTTTGAACCCACAGGCTTGAACCCCAGTAAGATCTCAGCTGTTCATAACAGTTGACTAAGTCAAGTATGATGCAGTTAACTGTGACAGTCTTTAAGATAATTTCTTAGAAACTGAGGTACCATTGGCTATGTGTGAACAATATTAATACCACACCTTATACTCTAAGAAACCAATTTAGTCCCATTATACTTGGCCAGAATTTAATATTCCCATAGAGGGAAATTATCATCATCCATACAACAGAGGTGATTTCATATTTGATCGTTTATGTAAAAAGGCATATTCTTTATGAAGTGCACTGAGATCCCTTTGAGGGGACAGTTGTTATATATGTAGAAAATATCACTATTTATTATTATAATTGCATTCCACCTTCCAGATTATACTCAGCATTGACTCTAATCAATTAAATATAAAAGGTTTTTTGGGGCTAATTGTTAATTTGAGTATAAAGTAAGTCATTATAAGTTGCTTGCTATGAAACACAGGGCGACGTTAATGCATTGCTTACAGTAAGCCTTCAAGTAGTGGTAGAATATTTAATGCCTTGAAAGTAGTGTTGCACTGTAATTTAATTGATAGGCTCAGTACAATTTCTTTGTATAGGTTAGCACATGCCCATCTTCAGAGTAGCTGCCAAGGTTAAAAGAAATGTTAGAATTGAAGCATCTTCATTTCACCTCGATGATAAACTACTTTCTCAGTTACAATTACATTTATAACCTACATCGTGTGGAGACTTAATTTATTTATGGTCTGTTTAACAAAATTAAAGATGTTTGTTTTAATTATTGTTGTTATTAGTTGCTTTTAACCTTCAATAAGTAAAGCCTTACAGTCAAATTCTGATCTTCCACTAATGAAACCCAGAAATACCTTCACTCTGGACTTATGCTGGCGTGAGATTGGACTTTGGCCCTAAATCGTGAGAACTAGATGAACCTCTATAGCAAAAGAACAAAGCTGATTTATTATGTATGTGCAGAGTTAGATGTGGGCGTGTGATGGGAATTCTGCAACCTAAAAAGGAAATTAAATTCAGAGTGTGTTGAGAAATTGATTTCTTGTTGTGAGAAGAAATGTCTGATCAATACATACCTGCCGCTATCCATCCTCATATCCAAAGGGCCATCCTTTTTCAGGGAAAAACCTCTTTCAGGAGTATCAAGCTGCATAGAGGAACACCCAGCATCCAAAAGAACTCCATCTAGTGTCCCTGGCTCTACTCCAGCTGAGATTAACAGAGTTTCTGCTTGGCTGAACTGTCCTAGAAGAGCCTGAATCTGTTTCCTATAAAAAAAAAAAATCGCAGCTAAAAAATCTCAATCTGAATGCTAATTGTGAAATATTTCTTCCCTTTTAAAGTAGGAAACAGACAACAAATAGGAGTAAAATTTACCAAAGCACTTACGTGACATAGGGTTCTCAGTCCCATTTTCAAAAAAGATTTAGGAATTTAGGAGCCTATGTCTCAATGACACTTAGGGTGTGTCTAGACTACAGGGTTTTTTCAACAAAAGTTGGCTTTTGTCGACAAAACTATGTCTGTGTCTACACTACCACCACATTCTGTCGACAATAAGTTGACAGAATGCAGCAGTTTTGTTGACAGCGGTAAACCTCATTTTACGAGGAATAACACCTTTTTTCGAAAGTACTCTTTCAAAAAAAAAAACGCTATTGCATGGAAACTGCTTTTTTGAAAGAGAGCATCTAGGCTTTGGAAAAAGCGGCTTGTTTTTTCAACAATACTGATCATAGTCTAGACGCTTTTTTTCGACAGAGGCTTTGTCGACAGTATATGTCGACAAGCCTCTGTAGAAAAAGGCGTGCAGTCTGGACATAGCCTTAGACACGTAAGTAATTTTGAAAACAGGACTTAAGCACTTTTCAAAGTTTTACCGTAGGTCTAGTTTTACTCTCAGACCAGATTTACATTAATGCAACTCCATTGAGAACAGTGAGTTACTCCAGTTTTCAGCTAGTGTCAGTGAGAAGGGTCGACTATTTGCATTCATTCAAATGCAGAAAAATGAGAAACAAGAAATGAAAACAAGACTATTAAAAAAACAAAAACAAAAATCATTTAACAAATTCCCTCACAACACAGTTCCTTACTATTAGAAATTGTATCCATTTTAAAGTTGGGGTATATAAGTTTACTTAACCATGAACCATGAGTCTAGGAAATATTCGGAATAAATAAGTATTACATGAAAGTTATTTGCCCACACAAATTTAAAAGTATAAGTCATTAAATGTATATAATGATATTCAATGTAATAGAAATAGGAGTTGATAGCCTAGAAAAGAGTGGTGATTAATCTGACATATCAACTCACATATTCAATATTTTAATGTATATTTAAGATAGATCTGAGAAATTTATTATTTTTCCAATTTCTTTTCTTAGAGAAAGATTTTCCTGAACGTTTTGAGAATTTGCAGACTTTCACTGGTTCTTTATTCTTGTGATAATAAAGACTCCATATAGTTCCCTGTCATGGTTAAGGTTTCTTTGTTATTTCTTTTTTCTCAACATTGCCAATCTTTAGTTCTCTGTGTTAACCTGATTCAAAGGCCATATCCCCAAACCTTAATTTAGCTTTAGTGTGAAAAACTGGCCCTCAAACCTTTCATCTCGTATGTTAATATCCTCTAAAAACCAGACATTTGATAAAGTAGGAACATCTGTATTATTTGTTCTGAAAATGATGCACATCTCCGTATGTGAATTTATGATGGGTTGCTTCCTTTAGAATTACATCAAAAGTGTTTGTTGAAGGAACAATCAGGAAACGTAAAACAATGGCTAAGGCTCATCCCAACAAACATTTAACATAAGAGCTAGGTTTATGGCCAAGAAAAGACTCCTCTACCCCAGCCATGGTGACACAGATGTTCTGCTAGTGCTGAGATGATAGAGATCAAAGGCATTGCTAAAATGTTAGAATGCCCAGGATCTAGAAAAGAATGAAGTTGAGTGAGTGGCCAGATGCTACTCAGAATGCTCCAAAGAAAGATGACAGGCTGGCCTGGGAGTATACTGAGACGGGGAGATTGCTGTGAATAGCACAGCCTGTTTCTCCCACCCAGAGAGGGGGAGAGAAACTTGCAAAGGTTGGCAAGGAAAGATTAAGGAGAGGTAATATTAGGTGTACAGATTTTATTCATCTTTTACCCCTGTATGGACTTTGTACCTATGGGGCAAAAAACAATAAAAAGGCTGTACACCTGGGTATTACTTATCCTAAATAAGTAATGATTTGTTTTGAAGCCACTGTTTTTCTCAATTCACAGATTCCCAGAAGAAAAGGGTTTGCAAGTCCCAACCACGGTTGGGCCTGATATCTTAAGAGCATCAGTGCTGCAGCAGTGTAAGATCTCTTGTGTAGCCGCTCTAGGCTGATCAGAGCATCAAAGGGTTGGAAGAGACCTCAGGAGGCCATTGAGTTCAACCCCCTGCTAAAAGCAGGACCAATCCCTCTCTCATTGACACAATTAATCCACCTCAATGAACTCTCTCACTGACATAGTGTTGTGCTTACTAACGCTTATGCTGCCATAACTTATGTCGCTCAGTAGGGTGGAATATTCACACCCCTGAGTAACATAAGTGGTAGCATAGATATAGCCTTAGTTCAGGAAGTAAAGTGTACTATACCCTGTTGAAAATAATACACGGATTTCAAAGGGGGCAAAAAAGCAATGACGTAAATAAGAATTTGGAAAAAATACTGGTGTAAATATTCTTGGTCTTGTAGTACCACTGGATACTGAACACCACTATGTTCTATCCAAAAGATGCCTCCCCAGCTGCCACTCAAAACCCCTTAACATCATGATGAGGCACAGGTTCAACATTCACTCTGTGTCACCAACTGTAACATTAATACTTCTTTTTGAAGTCACTCCGTCAAAAATGACCAAGCCCAACTACATCTAGTTTACGAGATATTACCTGATACTTATATAGCACTTTAAATCTTCATAGTCCTCTAGAGCAGTGGTTTTCAACCTTTTTTTCTCAGGACTCAGTTGAAGAATTATTGATGCCCAAGATCCAACATAATTTGACTAGAATGTAGGTTCCGGGGTGGGGCTGAGGATGAGAGCTTTGGTTGGGGGCAGTGTTGTCCAGGGCTGGGCAGGAGGGCCTTACCTTGAGCAGCTCCCAGTGAGTGGTGGCAGCAAGGGTGCTAAGGCAAGCTTCCTGCCTCTCCTAGCACAGCAGACCATGCTGTGTTCCAGAAGTAGCCAGCAGCAGGTTCCCAGACAATGGGAGTGTGAAGTTAATGCTCAGGGCGGGGGGCAGTCCACAAAGCCCAGGGCACCTCCCCCCCCCCAACCTAGAAACTGGGCCTGCTACCAGCTACTTCTAGGGTAGTCTGTGGTGCCAAAACAGGCCAGGAGCCTGCTCTAGCACCCCCTCTAGTCACCTGATCACTTTCAGCCATGAGACCCAATGCCTGACATTCCACAAGCCAGTACTAAATTGCAATCCATCAATTGAAAACCACAGATCTAGAAACATCAAATTATTAAATCTCATGACACTTGAATTTAAGCAAAGTTATCCCTATATTATATATTGAGAAAGTAAAAATGAAAAGAATTTAATCTTAAGAGTCTTCTTCAAATTTACCCAATGACTTGCCCAAGGCTACATGGCAACTCTGGGACAAAACTGAGGATAAACCTCAGGGAATTACAGGCTGAAATTGTATGACTGCAGACTCTGGTCTCTTCATAATCATCTCTTCTTTTGTTTTGTTTTTTTGTAATTTTTCAACTATTCTTAACTGACCATTGGGAGGTGGTGGAATCTCCATCCTTAGAGGTTTTAAAAACAAAGACCTGGCTAGAATGATCTACATGGGCTCGGTCCTGCTTTGAGCATGGGTTTGAAGTAGCTGACCTTCTGAGGTGTCCTCCAACTGTAATCTTCTGTGATTGTATGACCTTTAACTTATCGCTGAAATACACTCCATTATTTGGCCATTTATTATCTAATTATGTTCTCTGTTACAAAAATAATAACATTAATGTACTTTAACAAAACATTAGCAACACTGAAAATGTAGTAAAAAAAATGCAACAGAAAATGAGTAAAAAGTAATTTCACAGGCTATATCTGCTCATGAGCCTCTTAGCAGTTTTGGGGATTTTACCACCACATATTTTATCTTACAAAGTGTTTTTCCCTCACTATTGTGAGAAAGAACCACTGGACAAAAGGGTGATGGTAACACTAACTATACACACAGTGCAATCAACTGCATGATGTAAAGAAACTGAGAAAGAAGAGTGGTCCTCACCGTACCACTTATCTTTTTCAGATATCGTGATCTGAGGATTACTTGCAATAATAGTAGATAATTTTCAGAAAGAAGTGGGGTTTCTAATGTCCCTTACACATTTTGTTTTGGGTAAATTTGATATATATGATCTTCGGATATGTCTACACTACACACCTTTTAGCAAGACAACTGTGTTGACACAGCCCTTTCACTAAATGTCAGGCAGTGTAAACACTGTCCTCATTTTTGTCAGCATAAAACTTTCACCCCATATAAGCAGCATTTACTGGGAAAAGCACTATTTACACTAGTACTTGCCACAGCAATGCTTTCTCCTTGGAGGGGATGTTAGATTTAAATACCTGTGAACCACAAAATCTTTGTTGCTCAATTGCCAGTGTAGACAAAACCATGGTCTCTTTCCAGCATTACTTTTATACATTGTGCTGATTAAGTTTTTACAAGCAAATGGTGACTGAATCATTTGAACAACAAAGCTCCCTACTTAACCCCCAAAAAAGTAAGAAGCGGTGAAAGTATCCAAATACACCCCTGCCAAAATACCTCCAACTGTGGGTATGTCTACACAACAACATTATTTTGAAATAACTTAGTCTGTGTCTAAACACCAGGCAGATTTTTCGAAATAATGTCAAAATACTGTCAAGCTGGAGGACTTCTTACTCGGACTCCTGTAGCTCTCATTGTACAAGGAGTAAGGGAAGTCAGAGGAAGTGTGCTCTATTTCAAAATATGTGCTGTGTAGACTCTCCCAATTTTGAAATAAGGTATTTCAAAATAAGCTACACAATTGACGTAGCTCAATTCGTGCAGCTTATTTCAAGTTAAGCCCTGCAGTGTAGACGCATCCTGAAAGACCGATCTAGTGATTCATTTGATTTGGCAACTCTTGGCCTCCATTTGATTCCAGTTCATTTGACTGGCTGATTGGAGGACTTCCCTTCTATTCCTCTCTGAGGACACATGTAC